CACACACACACACACACACACACACACACACACACACACACACACACACACACACACACACACACACACACGCCTACAGAACGACGACTTCGATGCGTATGGTATGTACGTTGCAAATCCATTGCACAAGAGCAACAACGGCAGCTTCGTTGGCGATGGCAGCGCTGGTGAGGGCTCGGTGGCATTTGACTACGGGGCACCACTGTTGCCGACAGCGCCACAGCAGCGCAACAAACCCGTGTACGAGAATGATTTGCACCGTCCACACGCGCGCGACTGCCACCATACTGGCGATGCTGCTGTTGGCTATGGTGATGTGGAGGAGCCATATCAGATTCCGCACTATGCAGCGTGGTACGGGCGTGCACAGCCCCAACACCAGCAACCCCAACACCAGCACCAGCAGCACCAACAGTCGCAGTCGCATGGGCACACGGATGCCGACGGATATCTGATTCCTGTGCGGGCGTGTGAGGTGTCTGATTACGCGGCGCTGTCTGGCGACCACGTACGATACCACACGACTGGATACTGCGAGGTGCCGGCAAAGGGCGATGCGCCAGACTACACATACGCCTCCCACCACACGTCGCATGGCGGCGGGATTGATGATGACGAGCAGTACGGGGTGGTGGCACCACGCTCACACCTGGATGGTGGTGATGATGGTGGTGGTGGTGGTGGTGATGATGGTGGTGATGGTGGTGATGGTGATGATGGTTACATTGACGGCTCGGACCTGCAGGAGGATGAGCCCGTTGAGATTTACGGAACACTGCAGTGATGGGATGGGATGGTACTGCAAATGGTGGCGTTGATGATGAAGGGTTGTGTACGTTGTATGTATGTATGGTGTTGACGATATGTCTATTTGCTTCGCTGGCCTGATGTGCTTTCATTCTTGTGTTATTCTACTGGATTGCGTTTTCTTCCTGTTGATGTGTGTATGTTCATTCAAGCGCGCTGGTTATGGTGCTTGCTGCGAGTGCGTTCGTCTCTCGTCGTGCGTTCCTGTCCCCCTGTCCTGCTCGCTGGGCTCGAGTCAACAGTCTGCCGACACTGTGATTGCATTGCGGCAGCGTGAAGAAGAGGAGGCAGCACACACTCAAAACACACCAAGCAAGCAAGCAAGAGTGCGGAAAGAGTAACAAGAAGCAACGTTGAGGATGTGCAGTGCAGTGGCACATGGTGAGGACACAATGCTTGCAGCATGATGCATGAAGCATGATGCACGCGTTGTTGCTCGTCCCGCGCACCCACTCACCAAGTCACGCACCCAGCCACCTCCCTCGCTCCCTCACTCCCTCACTCCCTCACTCGTTGTGCAGCTGCGCGGGCGCGGCGCGTTGATCTGTTCTTGAAGCTGCAGCAAGCATGTGCAGCGGAGGCGCAGGCTGCGTCCCGGCCCATCACCGTCACCATCCAGACGCCGCATCGCGACCAGGAGCCAGCTCACGTCATCGCCGCCTCACACACAACCGTCCCTGCACAGCTCATGAGAGGTGAGGGTGCGTCGTTGGCTGGCCATGGGGGAAAGCCAGCTGCTGTGAGCCGTCAACACACCTCGTCCCTCAACCCGTGTGTGTGTGTGTGTGTGTGTGTGTGTGTGTGTGTGTGTGTGTGTGTGTGTGTGTGTGTGTGTGTGTGTGTGTGTGTGTGTGTGTGTGTGTGTGTGTGTGTGTGTGTCGCCATTGCCAGGGATATCCAACCGGAACCAGATTGCGGCGTGCCGGGTCAATGGACACCTGTGGGACTTGATGCGTCCTCTCACGGACACGTGCCATCTGCAGTTTCTCTTCTGGGACACCGACTGGGACTACGGGCTCAAAGAGGCACGTCACATGCGTGCATGGAATGCTGCGTGGCTGTTTCGAAGCAGAGTAGACAAGACTGTGAAAGCGTGTTGGCCTGCGTCGGTCTTGACGCTGTCACTGCTACTGGTGTTACTGCGTGACTGCTGTTCATTTCCCCAGATGTGCTGGCACTCTGGAGCGCACGTGCTGGGCGCGGCACTCGAGGAAGTGTATGGCGACGATATCCTGCTGTGTGACGGCCCGCCTGTCAAGCGCGGGTATGTGCTTGTATGTGTGTGTGTGCTTGTGTGTGCGTGTGTGCGTGTGCATGTGTGTGCTTGTGTGTGCTTGTGTGTGCTTGTGTGTGCTTGTGTGTGCTTGTGTGTGCTTGTGTGTGCTTGTGTGTGCTTGTGTGTGCTTGTGTGTGCTTGTGTGTGTGTGCATGTGTGTGCATGTGTGTGTGTGTGCTTGTGTGTGTGTGTGTGTGTGCTCTTGTGTGTGTGTGCATGTGTGTCGTGTTCTGCATACCTCCTTGCAACCTCACGCACGTTATCTCTCCTTTCCTATGCCTGAACGTCTCAGGGCTGGTTTCTTCTACGAAGGGCACCTGAAGCACGGCCAGACCGTAAACACGGACGCGCTGGCTCAGGTCGAGAAACACATGCACGAGCTGTGTAGACTGCAGCACGACCTCCAACGCATCGACGTCACCCCAGAGCAAGGTTCATATGTGCGTGCGTGCATGTGTGTGTATGTGCGTGTGTGTATGTGTGTGCGCGTGTACTTTGGATACGCCCTTGTTGTCTGTTATGGCAAACTCATTGCTTCCTCCTTCCCATTCCCTCACTGTGACGCCATCCCTCCACCTCCATCCTGCCAGCGCTGGATGTGTTCTGCGACAATCCGTTCAAGCAGCACTTTATCCATCGCGCCCAGCAGCAGGGCGAAACCTCCATCTCCATCTACAAGTCAGGCCCTGTGTGTGTATGTGTATGTATGTTGTGTTGTGTTGTGCTGTGCTGTGTTGTGTTGTGTTGTGTTGTGTTGTGTTGTGTTGTGTTGTGTTGTGTTGTGTTGTGTTGTGTTGTGTGCGTTTGTGTGTTTACGTGTGCGTGTGCGTGTGGTATGCGTGTGTGCGTGCGTTTGTGTGTTTGCGTGTGCGCGTGTGTGTCTCGGTATGTGTGTATTTGCTTCATGCTATGCATGACCAGCGTGTGCGTGCATGTTGCCAACCATCACGCTGTTCCGTCTCTCGTGCACTCGCTTGCTTCCTTGCGTCCAGGCTCGCCAGCTTTGTTGACCTGTGTGAAGGTGCGAACCGCTGAAGCAAAGAGGAAGTGTGTGCGCATGTGTGTGTATGTGTAAGTCTACCTTTGCTTGATCAGCACGTTCGTGTGCATGAGCGTTGATCCAACCTCTGATTCGACCTCCACCTCGCCGTTGACACGACACGACACCATACACACCATGCACGCCATGTATGGCAGGCCCGCACATCCGGAACCTTCGTCCGTTTTCCTCCAAAACGATTGCGCTGACGTCAACGTCGCAAGCGGAATTCGACTGGAGTGGACGCGAAGAGATGAAACCGGACAACTGGGACACACACACGCCGCTCACACGCACATACGGCATCTGTTTCCCCTCCAAACAGATGTTTCGGCACTGGAAACGTGAGTTGTGGTCATCAGTGCCGCCGCTGTCGCTGCTCTCTTGTCCCTGGCACGCGTGCTGTTGGTCCTGCGCATGTTGCAATGCACTCACACACACACTCACTCACACACACACATATTCACGCGTACCTGCATTGTGGCTTGGAAGGCGATGTGGAGGAGCGAGAGAAGTACAACCACAGCGCCGTTGGGAAATCCCTCTCCATCTTCATGCAGCATGACACAAGCCCAGGTCCCGTAACGAGCCGTTGTCGAGATGCTGTTGCATGTGTGCGTGCGTGTGTGCGCGTGTGAATCGTGTGTGTGT